AAATATTAGAACCCGCCTTGCCACTTCCAAGAAGGTTACACGTTTACACGTCGTATAACTGGAACCATTTTAAAGTTGACTTAGAGGGATTGATATCTTTCGTATGCCTAGCGAGCAGATGAGATTTTATAATTTCATTGTTTTAAACGGCCTAAGTACCTTAACTCGCTTAAAAAATAACGAGCTATAACGAAATATGCACAGAAATAAAATATAAAATCATTAAATTATTTTACATATTTGTATAAAAACGTGGGGTGAAACCCGCGGGTATAAGCTAGTTATAATATATAATATATCTCAACGAATTTATATTTAGAAAGCCGTTTGTTAGTTTTCGCAAGGATCGAGAGCGGCCGAACCGATTTTTTTAAAACTGCCACCTGCCGCACGTGTCCCAAGAATGGTTTTAGGCTGAAAAAAATCTATATGTAAAGGGGGCGTGGCACTTCCCATACAAACCGATTTTCTCATGCTACATATCTCTGAAAGTGTGCATGGTAGAGTTTTGGAAATTGGTATGGAGATATACGAAATCAATCGCATACCCTTGGAGAAAAATTTTAGCTATAGTAAAAAGGGGTGTGACATACAAATCCGAATTTTTCATACTGCTTATCTCTGGAAATCTTTTGGTAGAGTTCTAGAGTTTTGTATAGAGATGTACGTAATAAATCGCATACTCATGGAGAAAAATTGGAACTATTGGAAAAGGGGGCGTGGCATCTTCCATACAAACCGAATTTTTCATACTGCCTATCTTTGGAAGTGTTCATGGTAGAGTTCTGGAACTTGGTATGGAGATATACGAAATCAATCGCAGACTCATGAAGAAAGAGGGCAGCTGTTGGAAAGGGGGGCGTGGCTCCTGCATATCTCTGAAAGTATTCATGGTACAGTACTGGAACTTCGTATGGAGATATGTATATAGTTGAAATCAAGCCCATACTCATGGAGAAAATTTGGGCTATTTGAAAAGGGGTGTGAGGCCTACAAACCTACCGACCTTTAGCTATCTTTGAATGAATTTTTTTATTCTTCTGTATGTGTGTTTGTGAGTGAAATCTTCCTAAATGGTTGTACGGATTTTAACGAAACTTTTTGTGTATTTGAGTGGGTTTAGTTTCACAATTTAATCAGACAGTTGGCGCTGTAGTTGAGCTATTACTAAAAATGTTATTTATGATCCGATATGGCTAATGTTTTAAATATGTATGCAATACTATTGCAAAAACGTGCTGCCAAATGGTGCTGAAGTCGAGCTATTACTAAAAATAGCCAAGTGAGAAAAGGGGCCGTGAAGGTCAGATTAAATCGACCTGTTGCACCATTGAGTATATCGAACGCTCCTGCGTTGCAATTGGCCCAATGGATGTGATTTTCCAATATTATTGTGCGTTCAAACTTTTAAGGTATTTCGTCTGAAATAAGTATATGTATATTGCATTTCTGTAGAACAATGATTCACCCACCCATTTTGAAATTGCCACCTACTATACTGTAAAGCTTCTAGGACATTCACTATAGAACCGGGTCATTGTTGCCGCCAGTGAGTGAAGAGGAAAAAATTAATTTCGCTTTGCGAATAAGCGTGCTATGAAATGCCACACAACTGGTGAATTTCAAGAACGGATATAAAACTATGTTCCCATTGGCGTAATTTAGAGGTCAATCTTAATTTACGCATAAATTAATTACAAACTAAGTAATTTCGCTTTGTAAAGTCTCTCAGTAAATTAAGATGTAAGTACGTAGTTTATCTTAAACCAAGAACCAAAGCCCGAACAAATCAGTGTCCGCTCTAATTTTATCGATAATAATCGAAAAAAGTATTGTCCCACAACTGACATGTCATTGTGTTTGGACGTTTTTGTTTTTAATAATCGCGCGTGGTAGTTTGTAAAATATTTCCAGAAGCTTTCTCTTTTGATCACTCATCTAAAATCTAAAAATTACCACAAACAACTCAGAATATAAAAATATACGCAATTACTCACATTCGCGATCTCTTTTCGTTAAATAAACAATAACACAGGGTTGCTTCAAAGCTGTCAAGACAAATAAAGAAACGCGTGTATGAACGCACTTAATTTAGTGAGGTATTTTAAACGAAACTAAGTATTTTATGTTGGTAATGTGAACATAGTTTAACACTTTCCTTAGGTTATTTAAAGCGGCAAAGAACCACCAAACCTTAATCTTAGCAGACAAATGTGCCAATGGAAATCGTAAACGTGAATTGGTGGTAAAAATTTTGGACCAAAAAGTTTCAATAAAATATATAAAAATTTTGGGCGGGGCGAAGTTCGCCGGGTCTGCTAGTAAAAAAATAATTGTGAAGCAGTGGGGAAATTTTAACAATGAATAACTTAAAAACTATTAGCATTTGTACACAAAATGTTGATGATATCGGTCAATGAGCACCTCCTCAACACCCCCTGCGAATTTCATTAAAAACTTCGTAATACTTTGGGTGATATAGGAAATGGTCCATTATAGGAAATCTCAGCCTGGTGTATACCAACCATAACTAAACATTCCCCAACATTTTTGAGCCGATATGATCAAATGTATGTCTATTTTGATTACTTTTATTTTAACCGAGCTATTATCATGTGTTTTATTTACGCCCAAACTGATCAGACCACACTTTCATGTTGCCGGGCTGAATGTCTTCTTGTTTAATTTCTGCGCGGGTACGTTTTTGCAGATCCTTATACCTTTCCACATTCATCATTGGCTCAACGACGATCGGGTAAAGTGCTATACCCATTCCGCCGACAATACAAGAAATAAAAGCTGCATATCTCCATCCACGCAGGAAAACCATGTTGCTAAATCTCTATTAGGGAATTCGGAAAAATATCGACGCATCGAAAATATTGATGTTTGGCATCGATGCATCGAATTTTCCACTCGATCTCAGTGTTGCCCCTCACACTTTTTCCACTACCAAAAAACGTGCCAAAAGGGTTTTGGAAGCACCGAAAAGATATTTTTGTAGTAATAAAAGAGAAATGGTTTTGGGTGGGCTTTAGATTGGTAACCCCGGAGTACGGAATTAAGGAGAACATGGGAGGTAGAGGGGGATCTAATAGCTGTCTGTATGACGTTTCAAAGCGCCGAGCCTTATAGTTTTTAAGGAATTTGTTGTTGAAGGTTGTAAATTTAACAAATTTGTATGTACCATTTCACAACATGTGCAATCCCGAGCTCCAGGAAGTTATCTACTGTTTAATAAAAAAATATTATATAGAATATCGCAAACATTAGTAGGTCGTTTGTAGGTCTATGATAGATAAAAATTAACGTTTGATAGATCTTCCTATTCCTACAATAAGAAAAATAAAAAAGTTCAATATTTCTACGGAAGTTAGCCCCCTATTTTTTTAATTTTGCCGATAGAATGTTGAATTGCCGACTAAGTGATGCAGAATCGTTTGTAGGTGATTGATAGATGACATTCGGTCTCCTTTAATGCTCAATATATAAATTATTGAC